TCCCTATGGTCCCTATGCAAACCTACAGTACGCCCATGGACTGGAGGACCAATTGTGGTTACATCTAACTGTACCATGGTTTTTAGATGACACTTGTCAGAACAAAGAATAGGTGCTCTTTTATCGTTTATTAAACCGAAGGTTTAATCTGATCATGAATCTGGATTCTAGCAGCTGTGACAGAAAACTGCTCCCCTTCTCTTTAACTTAATCAATCTATTATGTTGTTTGTACTAAAAATTCAACATGGCGTTGCTATCATTAGCATCCTCACTAATGGCCTGTGTACTCATATCAATAAACTTGCTTTAGCTCCAATTTCTGTGAACACCAATGCCCCTACTGTATCCAGCTCTGTTTGAGTCTTATTTTTAAAATCAAATATTCTGTGTTCCTTTTCGCATAACATGGAAAGCAAGTCTATAATAAATAAAACCAAGTCTACATTACAGGATTATTGAAAGTCCTAGAGTACATACACACAATGTTTTATAGCCTAAGGTCAAAATCAGCCAGTTTCTCTTTGAATAAGGAGCCAGGTAAAAATACATCTAATAATAATATAATAAACCTGAATATTTCAAATTTGTAATGGATATAAATAAAGTTTTATTTTACATGAAATCAAAGTTGACAAACCTTTAAACTTTAGGAATTAAAAGTTAAATTTTTACAGATATGTGTATTGTTGATACTGTTGAATTATCTTTACATACTTTAACTAAACCTTTAAAGCTTGTTTGAAGATTACCAATCATCATTTTCAAATTTAATTGAGTAACTATGATTTCTAAAAAGAAATCTAAGTAAGTTATAAATATATCTATATATATATAACTATATAAAACTTTATACTACTTGAGATTATAGTATTAAAAAACTGACAACAGTCTACAGTCATCTCCTTCTCTGTGTGTATTGAGCTGTTATGAGGTTTTCAGCAAATTTACTATAAAACATTAAGTTTCTACATACCATGATAAACTAACCTAAAACCTCATCTCCCACATCAGCTTGCACCATATTGTGCCTTAAAATAATTTTATTTTGTACGTTGAATTATGTTTGGAATTAGCATTAATCCTTATTTTTTTTATGCTCGATTAAAATGTTTGTCTTTTGAATCTGCAGCATTTTTTATTACATTTTTCTGTTTTAAAGATCAGTTTTAACTTGTATGTTTAAACTTGTTTAACTTTCTTATTACTGTTTTATGTTAATTGTATACATGACACTTAGTGGAACTTGGTTTATTTGTGCTTTGTCAAAAAACGGGTATTCTGTGTGCCCTTTAATGATGACAGAGGGAAAGAAATAGGAAAATGTAGAATTGACTACAATAACATCAGCTTTCAGCGCAATCATTTCACACAGAATATCTACTTAGGTTGTTTCACCTCCCTGTCCATCATGCTGACCATGTTGTGGCCAAATAACCTTGCATCTTTGATTCTATCATGTTAAACATTCTAAATGTTCCCCTAATCCTAAACCTGTGCAGGGTTTGATGATATATTTTCTTTTTAGCATATTCTGACCTATAAAGATAAATAATTTTCCCATATTTTTAAAGCAGAAAAAATATAAAGGACCATCATTCATCATATTTATACTGCTGATTTTCTTTGAAAGGGTTTATTCCTTAGACTTTGGAAATAATTTCAGATGAAATTGTGCTGCCAAAACTAAAGATTAAAGCTATTTATTGATCTTAACCTTTAGAGCTAACAAATATGCATGCATATCATTTATGCTCGCAGTCGTCAACCTCATCTTTAGTGCCACATTATTTATGAAAAGACTCCAGTTATGTTTAATAAATGTCATTTTCATTTGTGCAGGTGGATACATCACATAAAAACTATTCATAGATTAGCTTTTTTAATTTATATGTTAAAAGATCCAAAGATACAAACAATACCTTAATCCGATTTAATTCCTTTATTAAACGGAAAAAAAAAAAAAAAATTCTGTTCTTGCATTCAGTGTAACAAAAAGCTCAGCTGTCATCATAAAACAATATAAATATGCAGCACCCTTATTAGGGGTGAGAAATAAAAAGTTTAGAATATGCAGAGAACAGTTCCAGACATACATGTGCATCCAAAAACATTATTAAAAATAATCAATCATTCAGCGATATAAGTGAAACTTCCTACAGTATCACCCACATTGAAGTATTTAATTCTGTTAATTTAGATGATTAACTTTTAATTTACTTTATCAAGTAAATTTTATTTAGATTTTTATTTTGAACACAGAAATGTTATTCCAATCGCCTATGAGATTATTCATGTTTTCAATTTTCAGCAGGACTTGGTACCTTCCACACTACCAAAGTAACCAAGGCTGCTTTAAAGACCACGTTAACAGTGTGTTCTACTGGCTAGCAATAGAGACGGGCCATGAGAAGCAATTAAAGCAACCTGGGAGTCCTTAATATTTCAGCAAAGGCACTTCTTACCATACTGTTGCAGTAATTCATGCAGAAGATTAGCCAATTTCTTTATTCCAGATCTGAAATAAACCAAAACCTGGGTTTGTGTTAGCCTTAATCAATAACAATCAAAAGCAACATAAAACTACTTAAAATATATCTGTTTAGTGAATAATGATCAGATTTTTCTAGGTTGAAAGAAAGCGATACTTTTAATTTGAATTTGTTGCTGAGGGTCACTTTTCTTTTTTTCCTGCAGATTGCAGATTATAAACATTGAGCTAAACTCAAAGGAGACATGGAAGCCAAACTGCCACCATTTCAGAAATGATACTTTCTCAGGGGTGCTGAGTTTCCACGTGTCTGTTCAAAGATGTTCTTTCTCTGAAACCTTTTCCACACGTTTGACACGGGAAGGGCCGCTCCCCCGTGTGAGTTCTAATGTGCATAGTTAAATTACTCTTTTTCCCAAAACTTTTTCCGCAGGTCAGACATGGAAAAGGCTTCTCTCCTGTGTGAGTTCTCATATGAGAGGCCAAATCACAACTCTGACAGAAGCCTTTACTGCATACTTCACAGGTATATGGCTTGTCCTCCAGGTGCCCCCTTTTGTGTTTGGTCAAATACCTTCTTTGGCTGAACCTTTTGCCACATATGGGACAGGGGAAAGGCTTCTCTTCTGTGTGCGTTTTCATGTGGACCGTCATAAAGGTCTTCTCCCTGAAGCTTTTTCCGCAAGTCGGACATGAAAAAGGCTTCTCAGAGGAGTGGGTGCTCAAGTGGCTATTCAAAGCTGACTTTGTAATGAAACTTTTCTTACAGATCAGACACGTGAAAGGCCTTTCGCCCCTGTGTGTCTTCATGTGAGTCGTCAAATTAGCACGAACGCCATAAGACTTGCCGCATAGCTCACAGGTATGGGGCTTCTCACCAGTGTGAGTTACAGTATGACATTTCAGAGAGTTCTTCCTAATGAAGGTTTTGCCACAGATCCTGCACTGGAATGGCTTCTTACCTATATGAATCCTCATATGATCCCTCAAATGACCACTCTGACTGAAATTTCTACCACAGAAACCACAAGAATATGGCCTCTCTCCAGTGTGCGTTCTGATGTGAATATTCAGCTGTCCGTTGTCCCTAAAGGCTTTCCCGCACATTTCACAGGAGAACGATCTCTCTCCCGTGTGAGTTTTCATGTGGCTATTTAGTCCATATTTGCGAGCAAAGCTTTTGCCACAGACGCCGCATAGGAAGGGCTTTTCACCTGTGTGCGTCCTCATATGATCAGTTAAATGATTTTTTTTCCTGAACTCTTTCCCACAAACGTCGCAGCAGTGAGACACGTTTTTACCACACATTTCCTGATCTTTGTTCTCAGCCTTAACATGACTCCCATAGAAGAGCTCATTCTCATTTAGGCCGGAATCACTGTCGTCCGTTTCCTCTTCGGACGATGTTTCATCAGAAGTCTCGGTCTCTTGCTTCAGGTCCAGTTGAAGGCGATCCTGCTGGAGGAAACGTTCATCCTCTTCCTCTTTAATCTGTGGAGTCTTTGGTTCCTCCAGTTTCGTTTTGAGCCGTAGTTCTTCTGGTTCTTCCGGACTGCAGTCTGCCTCTTTGTTAGAGACAAATTGGTCATGAGTATCAGCAGATATTGGAGGATGTAATTCTGCAGTAGATCTGAAAGAAATAACATAAAATGGAATTACACAAAAAGCTATTTCGTTATTGGAAAAAAAAAAATGCATTTATTTCTTTTCATTGAACCACACAGATGTGTACCTCATGCTTCTGAAAGCAGACATAAAGCCCAGTCAGAGCTTTATTTTCACCATCAGATGGATCAGGGTAGACTTGCAGCCATATAATACAGCTTGTGATTCTGAGAAGTAGAAAAAAGAAAGTTTTATTTATAGATATAATATTTCTTATTCTTTTTACAATGACAGACAGTGACATGTCCTGACAAGCAGATGAAATGGGATCTTAGTTGAGGTTAATACCAAAGTCAATTCAAGCATATAATTAACCGTCAGAAACAAAAGCATCTTGCTCATTCGACTGCATGTTAAATAATCTAATGAGGCATTTTGCCTTCATCATACTTAAGTGAAACTGATAAGAATAACAATATGTACACAAAGAAAATATGATTTTTTTGTGTGTACAACACAGCACTGTAACCACTGTCCCTAAAAGTAAACATTCTCCCTGTATGTTTTGCGATCTGACGGCAGACCATTTCAACAGATTAGATCCCACATGGGAGAACTAAAGTTTAGTCATTTTAGGTTAGTGTCAGGTTTTTGTTCCCTTACAACAACCTTTAGCTCAGTTAGCTCAATTTTTAAGAACTTAAACCTTAAAAGGCCACTCTAGGTCATATAACTTATTCAATGAATTATCCAACCCTCCCAAATTATGTAGGCAAGTATCTGATGAGAGCAGCGCAGTAAGAGCATAGACAGACATAAACTGCTCTATACCTGAGAGGTCATTTATATTTATCTCAAATTAAGCTGATACTTGGGTCCAAACTTAAACAGCCTCATACAGACTGATACAAACTCAACATAAAGTATATTTGTTTTGGTATAAATTAGAGAATCATATATATCTGTTGAGTGTTTCTTTTCATAAAGAAATATAAATTAGTCAAAATTTCTGCATTTAGGAGAATGGAATGTTTTCCATATATGGAAATGAAAGGGGAAAATCACTTTTGCAGCCAAGAAAAAAAACATGCTAGGATTATTTATTTGTTTATTTTTTTTTCCTTTGACCATCATCCATTACACTTAATAGATAGTTGGACTTTTTTTTTATTTTAAAGAACACAAAAAAAACTTTAAAAATGTAACTTTTACATTAACGATGTGGGGAAAAAAAATGTAAAGATGTGTATTATTTATCGGTTCAGTGATGAAAAGAAAATTGGGAAGGCCTGAAACAGCAGAAGCAGCTTTGAGGCTTCCGGCTTAAACCTTTACTAATTTAACATAAATGTTTATTATCATCATCAAAGAGCTACAGTTCTTTAATTTTGAAATGAATGTAGGATGCACACATTAAAAAAATTACATTAAGAAAAAAATAGTATTTAATGACATCCATTGAACTTTACGAAATAATATTTCTGTTGTGTATTAAAGAACAAACATAACTTCTTATAATAATGCACAATAAAGCAAAGGGTGCACAACCGTAGAAATGTGGCACTATTTTAACTATATTTTTAGCTTGAATGTTGTTGAATTGTTATTTAGAAAATGTTGTCATGCTTGCATTCAGTGATTACCACAACATCTAAATCTTATATTGATTATGACAATATTATTTCCTAATAGAGATTTAAGCTGTAGTGAATTCCTGAAACTAAAAATAACAGGTACACAATTTCCTGGGTTTAGATCAAGCAGTGGAGTTGATGTGTAGCAATAAAACTGTTTTAAATTCTTAGCTATCATGCTAATTTTAACAAAGAAACTACCTGATGCAAAAGTAATAAGGTGTAAAAAAAGAAAAAGATGTTAATTACATATATACTAAACAATATCTTTAGAAGTTTACGATCAAAACAATGTGTTGTAGCCACTGTTTATTAAAAAGAATAAAACCTGCTACAGTAAAGCTATATCAGGTAAGATATTTATTGCTCATACATAACCCACATTCTCCCACTAATAAAACATTATATTAGTTTTTATGCATGCAGACTTATTTAAACAGGGATTTCTGCTAAAGCTAACGCACAGTAAATGTTTATTGGAGTTAATTCCTTACCTTTAGGTTTGCTAAAACAGATGTTTGTAAAACTGTAGAATTTAATGAATGTCCAGAACACAGTGGGAAGTTTTCTTTAGTGGTTTTCTAAAGAAACAAAAAGGTCAGTTGTTGCTCTAATTAGCCTCCGGTAACTGATCTCCTATTAGCTTGTTCTACAGAGAGGAAATGGCGGCTGTAAATGATTGATCATCAGTTGGAAAAATCACCGGCATCGAGGTTGTCTTCTGTGAAACTAGATGTGCAGCAAACACGAACATCTACATAGAATTTTGGGAAGAATGAGCTTGGATGGAATCGTGTTTGTGGGGAGGCGGGGCTACGTGTAAAGGATATCCGGTCAACTAAATTTCCACTTTTCAAAATAAAAGCTTCTTCATGAATTAATAATATGTTCAACCCTGAGCCCTGTGATGTTTGAAAATAGTTATTTCAGTTGTTATATTTATCATACTTTTTTTTTTTTTTTCAACACTAAAGTTGTCATTCGATATATGGTAAAAACAAGTTATTTTTATTATTATTATTATTTTTTTTTTTAGGATTGGACACAATATCCATTTTTGCCTATTGGCCTAAAACTTTGAGGGTAAGGGCAAAAAAACAATGAACAATAAACTATCAAATAAGTACTGTGTGACGGCTGTCACCAGTAAGCACTACAAACAGATGTATAAACAATATAGTGCAAACAAACTTAAAATGTAAGGTTCAAATATTAAGGGAATGTTTCTTTGCAAACTTTTGAAAAAAGAGTAATTTAGAAGGCATAAAAACATTTAGAAATCAAACCCATTTTACAAACAGAACATGGTCCATCGTTTTAAAGTGGTGTAGTTAGAAAACTTTACTTCATGTGATTGTATTGCGCACCTCTTGACATGATTTGTAGCTTAATGTTTACAATGTATCCTGTATTATGTAGTACATTGGTTACCAAATTTTAACAAATTTTAACAAAGACACCACTAAACAGAATAGTTAAACTACTACTAATAATAACAACAGAATATATATACAACTAACAGTAGATTGGACTGAAAATGAAAACCTCGGGATTTTTGAAAGAAGCAGTAAAACCTTTTCTTTCGAAGAAATTTGTGTCATTAGGAGTCTCTAATGAGATACCCGTGAAGGCTAATTTTTTTGTGCAGGATCTGTTGGAGCGGCAGTGTATTGGTGACCCAAACAAGTAACACATTTTAAGGTACCGGTAAGTACTGGAGTTGATCTCTTGAAGACAATTTTTCAAAGCATTCAGATATTTAAAAAAAGTCACAATTTAGAAGATGGACAGGGTAACAGTTAAGTTTTGTTGCACTGTAAATTTGGAAATTAAATTCAGTTAAATCATACTTTATTGATCCAAATAGGAACCTATATGTCATAACTCATAGGTTTGTTTTTTTTGTTTTTTACCAGCTTTTGTATATGTAAAAAGCTGTCGACAGGAATGATCTTTTGTAACAGACTGTTTTTCACCTGATCTGGTGAAACTTTTGAATGAGGACACTCTTTTTTTGATTAACAGTCTTACAAAGTAAATACTCACTGTTGTCCATTGTATATTATCTGAGCTACTATAGCACACATTAGATCAGACATGCTGCTGGGAAAAACCTGGAGTGAATTGGTAAGAATGTTAACTGAACTATCTACTAAGGTTCCCTATAAAAAAAATGTTTGTATCAAATGATTTAGTATAATCAAACGAGTGACTGCATGGACAAAATATAGTCTGCAAACATGCAACATAAAAGCATCAAGAGGGGGAGCTCTAAGATAATTTTTGTTAAAAAAGGAAGATTACATGTAAGGGTTATAATATCTGTATGCATATACTACTAATAAAAAAAAAACATGATGAAAGATTCAGAAAACCAAAATCTGCATTTAAAATATGGTTATTTTTAGTTTTTGACCTGGATTAGTGTATAAATGTTCCAATTCTCTAAAGTCTTTTATTTACAGTATGATCTATATACTGTCTGAAATAATTAGGTAAAACAAAAATATGAGTGTAACCAGTATTTATAAAAAAAAAAAAAAAATATATATATATATATATATATATATATATGAACTTTGAATCATATTTTACAGAAAAAAGTATCTAATCTTTTGAATAATCAAAATAATTACTTTTTGCTACAGTAAACAATGATTACCGTTTAGGAGAATGCTTTATGTGTAATATTACCTTTGCATTAAATCATTTAAAAACTAAAATAATTCCTAAAAAAATAAAAGATTCTCAGTGTAAGATAATTCAGATAAGTTATGCAGTGCCTTTCAAAGATTCAAAATGATAAAGTATGACATACTTCATATATTTTCATATTGAAACAATAAAGAAAACAAATCGAAGAAAAAAAAAACTGTAGTAAAAAAGCGGGTTTAACCAGGTTTTTGAAAAACACCTGCAGATTCAGCATAAATGTCAAAGGCTAAATATTTCTTATCTGAAAATCGCAGACCTTCTCAGTTTTAAGTCTTTGACAGGGAACAACCAAGTTGCATTATTAACCCAGCACAGGAAACGATTTTATACTGCAGATATTTAAAACAGAATGCATTTATCTTTTAAATATGTTGTATTCTTTTATTTTATTTCTATTAATCATATTTATTACATTAATCATTACTATCATCATCACTGTATTTCTAATTTGTATGATTTTTCTTTACATTAACATTTACATTAAAAATATTATAACTATAATAAAAAAAAAATCAGATGTTAAATTGCTGTATTTCAGAGAAATATATATATATATATAAATCACTGTGTGAACTAAATTTTGTCGTTTATGTCATAAATCTGAGTTTGAATCCCTCCCTCCCTGACAGGTGGAGTCAATGCAAAGCTTAATATTTTCAGGTCCTATTTCTGTGACTGTGACAAGCTGTCAAAGAATGAGAATCACACTGAAACATGATGGACTTCAGATCTGGACTTCTTTGTTTTATCATCTGCTTTTCAGGCGAGAAAAAAAATATATGGAACCTTCAATCTGTTTTTGTGAAACTATTTATTAAAAAGAACTTTACTTACTGACCTTGTTTGCTTTACAGGTGTTAATAGTCAGACTCTGAGAGAATCTGAACCAGTAGTTAAACAACCAGGAGAGTCTCACAGACTGACCTGTACAGCTTCTGGATTCACATTCACAGAGACACAGTGATTGAAGTCAGTTCAGCAGCCATACAAAAACCTCAGCTTCCTTCAAATCTTTCTAGAGAAAAGTTTCATTTTGACTGGGAGAATTTCAGACTTTTTGCACAAGAGACTCCTTGTGCAAACAGTCTGTCATTCTATTAGGATTAATATGTTTAAAAGAGGCAATAATAACTTCAAGTATTCCAATAAAACATTTGTTGATACCTTTTTGTATTCCATGTCTTACTTCTGAAATATAGTTTATAAGTCAAAATCTGTTTGGAGTTGTGGGGTTTGATGTTTTCTTATACATACAACAAACCCAACCATATTTATATTGTATTTTTTTTTTGTTCTTGATGAAATCTTAACCTCTGGTTGACATTGTGTATTCTTTTTATCCACGCCATTTAAGGCAATGGTAAAATTCTTCACAACTTTAATGAGGTCATTAGAGTTCTGCAGAATTTTGAATGAAAAGAATACTTGTTAGGCTCAATTAAAGCTGAAATTTCGAGTTGTTTTGTTTTTTCTTTATTGCGTTAATGCTGAGAACCATAGTTAGGTAAGTGTTCTCTCTGTCAAAATACTTATGAACCTGTTTATAATCTTGTGCCTTACTCTTCATTTCTGCTTTTTTTTGACTTTATACTCATACATCTCCACTTTGGAAAAGAGCTAATTTTAATCCCCTTGTGCACTTGCTTAATGATAATAAAGCTATTCTTGTCTAGCTCTTCTACTGTGTTGTAATATTCGTCCTCTAAAATGAAAAAGTAGCCCTAAACTTTGATCCTTTTGTAGAAGTTCTTTTATCTTCAATTGGAAAGGAAAACAAGAACGTAGTGTTGGCGAGAGTGATTTTTTAAAATTGGTATATGCTTTATTTTCAAACATATTTATATTGCTCATGTTCTACAAATAATTAAAGGATGATGACTCTAAAAGATTCTCTTAAAAAAATACATGTTCCACATTGCACGTTTGTAAACTTTGCATTAAATATTAGGTAAAAAACTTATACATAAAATGTGTTTAATGAAAGAATAATTTTCCAGATAATATAATGTAAAATGTAAATGTAAATGTAAATGTAATGTAATGGAAAATGGAAAATTAAAGTTTAACTTTCTTCCTTTTGATCCAAACCTTAATGCAATAAGTTCCTCAGCCTGGGACTGGCCTTCCTAAATGTTGTATAGATTATTATCTGACTATTATCTGATTTATCAAACTTTCCTTTGCAT